TATGGGTGTTGGTTTGTATCCCAGCTGCTCTACTCCACTTCCAGCTTCCTGTCTGGGTCCTCAGTGGAGATTCCTGGCACCTAACTTCAGATTCACTCAGCTCTGGCCATTTTGGCCATTTGTGTAATGGACCAGCAGATGGAGGATCTCTGTGTCACCTGTCTATAAATATGCTTTTCAAATGGAAAAAAAAAATCTTTAGAAAACTTGTTGTTTAATTAACATTGTGATGGACTTGCTGTCTTTTTTTTCTTTCTTTCTTTAAAGTTTCATTTAATTTTTATTGGAAAATCACATACACAAGGAACAGGAGAGTCAGAGAGGAAGGTCTTCCATCTGTTGATTTGCCCTCCAGGCGGCCACGATGGCCAGAGCTGAGCCAATTCAAAACCAGGAGCCAGGAGCCTCTTCCGGTTCTCCCACACAGGTGCAGGTTCCCAAGCTTTGGGACATCCTCGACTGCTTTCCTAAGCCACAAGCAGGGAGCTGGATGGGAAGTGGAGCAGCTGGCGCCCCTCTGGGATCCTGGTGAGTGCAAGGCGAGGACTTCTGCCACTAGAACATGATGCCAGGCCTGACTTAAGGATATTTTTAAGTAAAATATTAAAATCTTTTTAATTTCTAATGTGACAAATATCATTAGACATCTACATAAACAAAATTTTGTGGGGGCCCTGAATAATTTTCAAGAGCATAGGGACTCTTAAAGCCAAAAATTTTGAAATTTCCTGTGTTTCCTGCTATAAAATGTAGAATCCTGAAATCTGTCAGAAGAGAAAAAGTGATGAAAGTTTATGTCATAAACATCTTTTGCATTGTGAAGAATAATTTCACTGAAAATCTCTGTATTCCTTGAAACTGCTCATGTACTCACGACAAGGCTTCTGAGTTCATCCTGTCTGACATTGAAGTATTTAACCAAAACATAATTTGTTTTTCATTTGTCTGTTTCTAAAATTTTAAATTTTTTACTGGCTTCTAAGTGATTGAAGCACAAGGTAAAAAACAGTGAAATACATTCATTTAATATCTGGGTTTATATATATTAGGATATGATATTATTTGTGCTGATCCCCCAAAATAGGAAAGTACAAATGGAAATCGAGTAATGAATGTTTAGAAATTTATTAGACCTGCAGTGCATTCATCCCCATTCTACTAAGATTGCCTTCTATCAGACTGTCAAATACTTGCTTACCTGAAGCCATGAAACTAAACACAATGATTGCCTTGGCAAACCATAGTTCCCAAATGTAAATCAGTGCTTCCTTTTAAAAATGAAAGTGATGCAGTTTGTCACTGCAGGTGGAGAAGAGATAAAAGCTATAGCAGCATCATCCGTAATTGCATAGCACAAATGAAAATGTCACACTTTCGAAACAAAAAAAGCCATGTAAAATCTGCTAAAAAGTTAATCAGAAGTTTTCTGTTTGGAGAAAAGGCAGAATGGGCTGTTAGTGGGATTACTTTATCACATGACACTGTTGGGCATTATCTGTAGTACTTGGGGTGAAAAATTAATGCTGCCATTTTCAGTTATGGTGATAAAAGCTGAATATGTTGAATATGTAAATTCCCCTGCAAAACGATATGGCAAGCCAAGTATTTGCTGCCCCTCTGTTGGTTTTTTTTTTCTTTTCTTTCTTTTTCTTTTATTAAGATTTATCCATTTTTACTGGAAAGTCTGATCTACAGGGAGAAGGAGAGACAGAAAGGTCTTCCATCAGCTGGTTCACTCCCTAAGTGGCCACAATGGCTGCAATGGCTGGAGCTGATCCAAAGCTAGAAGCCAGGAGCCACCTTGGGGTCTCTCATGTGGGTGTAGGGTTCCAAGTTCTTGGGCCATTCTCTACTGCTTTCCCAGGCCACAAGCAGGGAGCTGGATGGGAAGTGGAGCTGCCAGAACACAAACCGGTACCCACATGGGATCCTGGTGTGTGCAAGGCAAGGACTTTAGCTACTAGGCCACCATTTCTGAACCCCTTTGTTTTTTTTTTTTGTTTTGTTTTGTTTTGTTTTTATTTTTATTGGAAAGGCGGATATACAGAGAAGAGAGGCAGAGAGGAAGATCTTCCATCCGATGATTCACTCCCCAAGTGACCACAATGACTGTAGCTTAGCCAATCTGAAGCCAGGAGCTTCTTCCGGGTCTTCCACATAAGTGCAGAGTCCCAAGGCTTTGGGCCGTCCTCAACTGCTTTCCCAAGCCCCAAGCAGAGAGCTGGATGGGAAGCGGGGCCACCAGGATTAGAACCAGTGCCCATATAGGATCCCGGCGCATGCAAGGCGAGGACTTTAGCCACAACACTATCATATCGGGCCCAGGATCCCTGTTGATGGCTTTAAAAGATATCTCTGATCAAATGGTGTATTCTGTCATTTCATGATCTGTGACCTAACGTGGACAATGGGAAGGAACCTTGAAACCATACATGAAGCATAGCATCAGCAGTTCTGCATGCAATAAAAAAGGGCAGGACTGTTCACCAAGCACAGTGAGTAGCCAAGAGTATGCCTGTGCATCGTGACCATGTGCTCAGGACACAAGTTAAGGCTGCTGGGTCACCTTTGCCCCAGCCTCATCATTTTTTGTATGACTTGTGAAGAAAAAATGGTTTTTACATTTTTAAAAGGTGGAAAGAATATCAGAAGAATGAAATTTTCTGGCACATGAAATACCAATTAAGTTCAGTTTCATCTGTCCATGAAGTTCGATTGGAATATAACCTTGCTCATTAGTTTCTGTACGTGCTGTGACTTGTTTTCGCACTACAGAAGAGGATGTGCTTATTTGTGACACAGATCATATAGAGCAGCACAGTCTGAACTATTCACTATCTGGCTTTTTACAGCAAAAGTTTGCTGACCCTAAGATTGAGTAAATCCACTTTGATCCATCTTATTTGTTGTCCTTCCCCATGGGAGTTCATTTGAAGAAAGGATTTGACTGGCTTGAAATCAGGGGTGTGTGTGTGTGTGTGTGTGTGCTTAAAGTATGTAAACTGTTTTAAAGTTCAGCCCAAACAGATTGACTGGAGTTTTGTGGTGATGGTGTTTTGTTTGTGAGTTCTTGTTGTTTTGCCACCCTGGTGGCAGGGTGGGATTCACAGTTCAGTTTGAAAGTATGTACTGAGTAATTCACAGCAATATTTGGGCATACATTATAGATGGTAAAAGATTAACCACTTATGCCATCAAAGGTTTTTAAATCCAGAAGAGAAATAAAAAACATTGTTCTCCATAGTTTTTTGAACATTTTTTTCCTTAAAAGATTTATTTATTTTTATTGGAAAGGCCAGTTTACGGATAGACAAAGAAAGATCTCTTCTCTGCTGGTTCACTTTCGAAATGACCACAACAGCCAGAGTTGAGCTGATCTGAAGCTAGTAGCCAGAGGCCACTTCCAGGTCTCCCAAAAGGGTGCAGGGTCATGGAAAGCTTTGGACCATCCTCGACTGCTTTCCCAGATCACAGGCAAGGAGCTAGATGGGAAGTGTAGTAGCCAGGGCACAAACTGGTGCCCAGAAATGCTAGTACTTGAAGGTGGAGGATTAGGCTGTTAAACCACAACATTAGCCACCGAATATTGTTCTTAAATGAGAGATTGAACATAGTTTAAAAGGAAGATATTTGGCTCAAATTGCTGTTCTCTCAAGCTGATACCCAGCAGATGGCTACCACTCCAGCAAATTCTCTCTTTCTCATTTTTCATGCTCAAGAACATTGTTTTGTGAAAGTTTGGCTCTAATTTAGTAATATCTCCTGGTTCCATTGCAATTAGTCCATTTCTGTAGTTGTTACTCTGCTAGGTATCTTTGTACTAAACTCTAAGTTAGCTGATTTGGTGTCTGCCTCACCAGACAAATCAGAGAATACTGATTTTTAAGGAACCCAGACATCTAAACCATTAGACTAAAATAGCATCTCCATTTTGAGATGCTTTGTTTGTTTTTGTTTTTGTTTTGTTTTTCAGTTTCCTTGTTAACTCATTTGATAGAAAGAGTAAACAATACTCCCTTGCCCTGATTCACCACCAAACTGCTTGCAGCCTGCCAGGATGAGAGCTGGGATCCAGAAACTCAACCAGAGGCATTTCGTGTGGGTAACAGAACCCAGTTACCTGAGCCATACTGCTGTCCCCTAAAGACTACCTTACTAGGAAGCTGGGATCAACGAGCCAGATATCGAAACCAGATACTCCAATATGTGGCATAGGTGACTTGCCTAGTGTTTTAATTACTACACTAAATGCCCACCCTATTTTTTCTCTTGGTTAATGTAACATTTCAGAGCATTGACTTTGACCCTGATTTTGTCAGTCAATCCTGCTTTCTTTAACCTAGGAAATCCATTTTCTCAGCTATGAAATGGGAATTAACGGAAATGGTAATGATGATAATGATTCCTTTTAGAGTTTGTTGAGAACCTTATCTGAGATGTTGCAAATAAAGTAACTTAGTAACCAGCTAGGTACAAGTTGGAATACCAAAATGGAATCCATGTATCAAACCTTAATAAAAATGAAGTCACAGAAAGCCATGCAAGGAAGACCCTAGGCAAGTATACTTGTAACAGGAGCTGCCAGAGTCTTTCCCAAACTGGAATTTTCTAGTGAAGTTAGTTCCATGAAGACATTCTCCTGGCAACAACTAGTACCACCGGTGACCAAAGGTCACCTTCTGTGTGAAGCCCTTTTACTTAGTGGTCTTTGTTTCAGGCAGTCCACTAATGGTTTCTCCTTTACTTCCTGCCCCATCCATGTGCCGTTGGTCCACCATGCATGCTGGTATGTCGGATTTGTAATCCCTTGCACTTCTAGAATAAAATGTTTGTCTTGAAAAGACATTCTGTATTGATAAATTTTGGTTGGCAGCTGTGTTGAAGATTGTTTTATCTTACAGAACCTGACTATAGCAATCATAATGGTTTTTGTATTGAATTTGGCATTGAAAGCTATACTGATCTTGAAACTTGATTTATTTTATATGTCTCTTTTACAGAATTCTCCACTTTACCAGTACTTACAGGATTTAGGACACACGGACTTTGAAATATGCTCTTCTTTGTCACCAAAACCAGAAAAATGCACAACAGAGGGACAACAGAAACCTCCTATAAAAGTAGAGCCAAAAGTAAGAAAGCATGCTCATTTATGGCTTAATCTTTTGTTCTTTACCTTAATGACTATTTAAACTGCTCTTTCCTTTACCCCTACAATACAGACAGATGAAATGTCCTTCCTCATATCGTTAAGATTTCTTAAAAGTGTAAATTGGAGATACATGCATGTGTGTGTTTGGGATATATATCCAGAGGGAGCTAGTAAATATCCCATAGTTGATGCACAGCATCTTGAGGCTGATACTCAAAGGACTCCATTAATTTGATTTTATACAAGACCCTTACTAGAGTCACTTGTGTTCTACTTGCTGTATTTACTAAAATAATAAAATATTCAAGTAAATTTTAGTTTTGACCAAAATAAGCATTTTGTCTCATTTTTTGTGCTGTCTAGTATTTACTTATATCGTTTATGTATTCATTTATTTTATTGGAAAAGCAGTTTTACAGAAAGAAGAGGCAGAGAGAAAAATCTTCCATCTGCTGGCTCATTCCCAAATGGCCACAACCGCCAGAGCTGATCTGATTTGAAGCCAGGAGCCAGGAGATCCTCTTCCAGGTCTCCCAGATGGGTGCAGGGTCCCAACACTTTAGACTGTCGTCTGCTTTCCCAGGGCACAAGCACAGAGCTGGAAAAATGTTAAGCAGAATATTTCTATCGCACAAAAATAATTAATAAAATATCTTACTGCCTTAGTATGATTGAATGAAATAATCTTACTATTTGAGTACTTGCATTACCCAGATGTTTTCATTCTGAAAGAAATACGATCATCATATGGAAAGAGATAGCATATAGTATTCTCAAAATAAATGGGCTATATTAGAGTGACTTCTGACCACACTTCAAATTCAGATTTTTAGCCTCATTACAGACCTGTTGAATCAGAATCTTTGCTTTGGGGGCCCTGGAATATGTTTTTAATTAAAATATCCAAGTAATTATGACATGCAACTGCATTTGGAAACTAACAAGGGAGGGAAACATTGACAGGACATGTAACTTGGGTGATTCTTTGTTGTCTTTTAATTAATTAGAGATAGCTTATCTGCATTTATATGCTATTTGTGGTTTAATAATCCTGTGCAATATAATTAATCTCTTTCAGCAAGGCATCCTGTTAAAAGTAACACAAACTGTCAGCAGTTGGATTTTCTCTCCCCAAGACAGTAAGAAAGATGACTTACTTCACAAGTTGGTGAGTCTTCATTTTACTTCTTTTTGTCATTTCTCATGGCTCCCTCCATTAGTGAGAGATTCAATGATTGAAATTTGTTTTGCTGCTGATTTGGCCAATGATTGATTTTTATTAGAACTTCTGAAATTACTTGGAACCTTTAAATTTGGGCTTATCTGTGTTTTTCATAACCCTTTTATTAGCCAATTTAGAATATTCTGATAGTTGTTGAAACTTTGTTAAATAATATAGTCCTACCACCTGCTTCCATTGATAAGTATTCCTCTTTTAGCAAAGGGAATGCATATCTATTAATGGGATCAGTTCAGTCTCACAGTACTAATAAATCACAGAACTCCTAAATAATTAAAAAAATTTTTTAAAGTGAATGCTGAAGGCCCAATGCAATGGCTCAGTTTGCTAGCCCTCCCCTTGCAAACATCAGCAACCAATAGGGGTGCCAGTTCATGTTCCAGCTGCTCCACTTCCCATCCAGCTCCCTGCTTATGGCCTGGGAAAGCAGTAGTGGATGGTCCAAAGCCTTGGGACCCTGCACCCATGAGGGAGACCGAGAAGAGGCTCCTGAATCCTGGCTTTGGACCAACTCGACTCTGACCATTGTGGTCATTTATTAGAGAAACAGTGGATGAAGATATTTCTATCTCTCATTCTCTTTGTCTCTCCTCTTTTTCAAGTAAAATATAAGTTTTTAACAACAAAAAAAGAATATTGTGGTAAAAAGATCTGGAATTTGAACAGTGATTCCCTGATTCCAAAGCTCATGTTACCTTCCTTAGTTGATTTTGATTATCTTTTCACAGAGTAAAATTAGTTCTAAAGCAATCCAGATTATCAAGTTCTATGTTCAAGGTTTCATCTTTGTAGAACGATTATTGAGGTCAGTGCAATGTGTTAACTACCAAGAACTTACTTGAGATCAGAATTCTGGTACATGACTTAACCTTTTTGGCCTTAGGTTTTCTCTGTGTGAAATGGAGAGGAGGAGGAGATTGTATGTGATTGGGTTTCTGTAAGAATTAACTTGTCTGTTCAAACAGTGCTGCCTCATTTCACCTGCACACCACATGTATTCTGCCTACAATATCAGATTATTCCCCCAAATTAGAAGGGCTTTCATTCTGTCCCATCCCGATCTTCTGCCTGGGCAGTTCTTGTTTAACACTTGGCTCTACTTTTCTTTGTACTTTTTCTGATTTTGAGAATGGTCCTTCCTTGACATTGTTTAGTACCCAGGATGCATACCTCATTGCATTCTTTTCCACATTGTATGGTATCTAATTTTCAGTTCTCTTCTTTGACCAACTCTTTAAAAGTAATGATTTCTATATCTTGTTCATTGTTTGTGTCTTCGGTGTCAAAAATAGTGCCTGGCTCAAAGAAGATATGCTTTAATCACTGGCTGAAGGAGAGGGAACACTTAATTAGCTGGTATATGTGAAGGCATTTGGCAAGCTACTAAATGATATGCAATCGTTAGTGTGGATTTGTGTTTTATTGATCAATAATGAAGTTTTAAATATTTGAATGCCTGTTTGTTGAGATCCTACTGACATAATTCTTAGCTATTAGCTACATTGTAATAGTACCTAAGGTCAACATCTTCAATTAATGAATTAGCATTAACTAGACAAGTATATTAATCTGCAGTTACTGTATGGCTCAGTATTATAAAAGTTGTATTCCCATCTGGTGGCTCAACATTATTCACCTCAATCTTTATTATTTTACCTTTATAGTAAAATCTCATCCATCAAATTTAAGATCAGTTAGACTAGTATGTCTTCTTTGATCCTGAACTGAAATTAAGCACCTCTAGATTGTACTGGAATTAGGAGTTTAACATTTTATAACAGTGTTGTGTATGTATTAATACCTCTCTTCCGGTATTTTAATGGATAGGATATTGGATTCCGACTCGACTCACTACATACCATCCTGCAACAGGAAGTCCTTTTACAAGAGGATGTGGAGCTGATTGAGCTACTTGATCCCAGTATCCTGTCTGCAGGGCAACCTGAACAACAGGAAAATGGACACCTTCCAACACTTTGCTCCCTGGCAACCCCTAATATTTGGTACTGTCCAGAAAATCTCTTTCTTGGTTGCTTACATATAGAGCATTAGCATTATTCTAACTATAATATTCTGCATAATATAGACATTATGAACATGCCATGTATTTAGCATTATAATTAATGTAATACTATACCAGAGGCCAAAAATAATTGCTTTTCCAGGGTAATTATTATTTAAAATTAAGCTGGAAAAAATTAACTATTACATCTTTCCAACTCGGCTTAACAACCCAGTGAACAAACTCCTCTGCACTCAAAAATGCTTTACCCCCCATATACCTGTGCTTGTTTATGCAAACTTAGCCAATTATTTATGCTTCCTTAGACTAATCAGTTATACCATAACCACATTGTAGAGCCACCCAGGGTAGCACAGGACATGGAAATACACAAGGCAACTCTCTTTGGGTTGGGTGAGGAGAGATGGCAAGCAACATAACTCCGTTATTCAGACTATCCTAAAAAATGTCAACACTTTAAATATTTGAATCTGATTCAGAGTCTCAGCCCATAATTTATGGGGGGTGAGGAGCTGAATAGTAGAAAGGGATTATATGTAAAGAATTGTTATGTCCTTTGCAAATTAAGAAAATGAATTAAGTCACTGCTGCTCAAGCTGTTGCACTGAGTCATTGGCCTCAGTGCTCAGAATTTTGTCTTGGCAGACTGGCATGTTTCGTGCTGTAATAAGTATCATGTTTGTTACTCAGATGTCATCATAAAAAAATAAAGCATCTTATACTGCAGAATAGAGGCATTTAAGGTGCTCCTAGAAGGAACTGTGGAAGTTCAAGAATTTAATATTTTCCTTTTAAGCTTCTTTTGTCCACAAATGTGTTTATGCAACTATGAATACAAAAAATGCTTTTATACTTTATGTTAACAAATTTTAAGCATATAATGAGGTTTGGCTTTATGATATGATTAGAATCATCTACAAAATGGAATTTCAACAACAACTAGGGTCAATAATTTTTTTTTAAAGATTTATTTGTTTTTATTACAAAGTCAGATATACAGAGAGGAGGAGAGACAGAGAGGAAGATATTCCATGCTATGGTTCACTCCCAAAGTGATCCCAATGGCCGGTGCTGTGCCAATCCCAAGCCAGGAGTCAGGAACCTCTTCTGGGTCTCCCACATGGGTGCAGAGTCCCAGGGCTTTGGGCCGTCCTCGACTGCTTTCCCAGGCCACAAACAGGAAGCTGGATGCGAAGTGGAGCTGCCGGGATTAGAACCAGCGCCCATATGGGCTCCTAACATGTTCAAGGCGAGGACTTTAGCCACTAGGCCACGGCGCTGGGCCCTAGGATCAATAAATATTAAGAAACATTTCTACTGTTGTTTCCTTTGCAGAATGCCTCTAACATTCTCCAAGTGTTGTTGATACTGTTTTGTGTTTTTTTTAAAGATTTATTTTATTTTTATTGGAAAGGCGGATATACAGAGAGGAGAGACAGAGAGGAAGATCTTCCGTCCGATGATTCACTCCCCAAGTGAGCGCAACGGGCCGATACTATGCCGATCTGAAGCCAGGAGCCTCTTCTGGGTCTCCCACGCGGGTGCAGGGTCCCAAGGCTTTGGGCCGTCCTCGACTGCTTTCCCAGGCCACAGGCAGGGAGCTGGAAGGGAAGCGGGGCTGCCGGGATAGAACCGGCGCCCATATGGGATCCCGGGCGTGCAAGGCGAGGACCTTAACCACTTGTGCCACTGCGCCGGGCCCCTGTTGATACTGTTTTATGGATACTCTCAAATACATTCCCCCATGCCACCTTCCTTCTTACGTGCACACCTTTTAAAGTAACCCTGCATTGCTTAAAAGAAAACTTTTACTCTATTAGATTTAAAATTGACGTGAATAAAATTTTTTTTTGATATTTCAAATTAAAATAGTAAAAGACCAAAATTTTTCCAAATCATGGTCTGTGCCAAATATATAGTTTTCAAATTAAACTTAGATAGCTATTCAAAACAATTACTCTTCAACTATACACTCCTTCTAGTGTTTACATTTTATGGTTTATGTTTTATTATTTTTACATGATCATTATTTACATTATTATGTATTGTTTACATTTCATTATTAAAGTGCTTACATTGTATTAAAGTTATTTATGAAGATACATATTTCTGACATCATTTCACTAAATCTGTTCACTGACAAGTAGCTAGAGATTTGCAAGCTACAAAGGCACTTGAGAAAGTTCATGGAAAGTAAAAATAAATATTTGGGCCCGACGCAATAGCATAGCAGTTAAGGAGCTTGCCTTGAACGCACCAGGATAGCATATGGGTGCCAGTTCTAATCCAGGCGGCCCCGCTTCCCATCCAGCTCCCAGCTCCCTGCTTGTAGCCTGAGAGAGCAGTCGGAAAACGACAGCCCAAGGCTTTGGGACCCGTGAGAGACTCGGAGGAAGCTCCTGGCTCCTGGCTTCGGATTGACTCAGCTCCAGCCATTGTGGCTGGTTGGGGAGTGAACCATGGGATGGAAGATCTCCTTCTCTGTCTCTCCTCTCTGTATATCCACCTTTCCAATAAAAAAATAAGTAAATCTTTTTTTAAAAAAAAAAGAAATAACTATTTTAGGTACATTGAGATTTTGAAATCTTTGCCTACTTTGTAATATGTATTTCCCATGAACTTTTTAGTTTTAAAGATTTATTTATTTTTATTACAAAGTCAGATATACAGAGAGGAGGAGAGACAGAGAGGAAGATCTTCCGTCCGATTATTCACTCCCCAAGTGGGCTCAACGGCTGGTGCTGCACCAATCCGAAGCCAGGAGCCAGGAGCTTCTTCTGGGTCTCCCACACGGGTGCAGGGTCCCAAGGCTTTGGGCTGTCTTTCACTGCTTTCCCAGGCCACAAGCAGGGAGCTGGATGGGAAGTGGGGCTGCTCGTATTTGAACTGGCGCCCATGTCGGATCCCAGCATGTTCAAGGCGAGGACTTTAGCCTCTAGGCGACTGTGCCAGGCCCTCCCATGAACTTTTTGAAGAGCTCTCCTGTGCCTCTGTTTCAAAAACCTTTGTGCCAAAATAAACTTTTAATTCATTTTCCATAATATCTGAATTGACCTTACTACATGTAATTTTTTAAGTCTTGCTTTACAAAGAACCTAGTGGTAAACCTGAATGTATCATTGTTTTTACTGACTGAAACAGGCAGTTCTTTTCCTTGTTTGATGGATGCTGTTCTGTTGATTCTCTATCCCTAGGGATGTCTCAGTGCTACTTGCCTTCATTAGTTTGCTCCTTGTGCTTCCCAGTTCGTGGATTGTGTCTTCCTGGCTGGTCTGGGGAGTGATTCTATTTGTTTATCTGATTATACGAGCCTTGAGCTTATGGAGGACAGTCAAATTACAAGTGACCCTAAAAAAGTACACTTTTCATTTGGAAGATATGGCCATAAACAGCCGCGCATTTACTAACCTTGTAAGAAAATCTTTACGTCTCATTCAAGAAACCGAAGTCATCTCCAGAGGATTTACACTGTGAGTTCATTTTTTATTATATTTTTAAGTGATTCTGTTTGCTACTTAATTCAAGGTGACCTATTTACACTTCCATATTGTATTTCTATAAGAAAAAACAAGTTTTTCTTTAGTGCTTATTATAATCCATTAACTGCTAAGTGAAAAAATAACATTTACAAGGAGTGTGAATCTCTTCATCTATTTTGGAAAACCAAAATATGCTGACAAGAGTCTTCCCTGTTCTACCATGTAACATGTAAGGCAGTACGTGGGGACACACAGCATTGAACCTAGTGTGCTATAGTTACTCAGTAAATGCTTGCTGCTCAAACGCCCTCAACCTTCAGTTTAAATGACACCTGTATCTCACATGCGTTCATTTTGAAAAAGAAGTCTCAGCATGTACTCTCAAATATTCTTTAGGTAAATTTTAGGAAATATTAACCCACTGAAATTCTTAATATATCATGCAACTAGTGCTGTTTTACAGTCCTTTGGGAATTAAGTGTTCACCGGTACAGCTGTGAGTATACTAGAAGCTTCAGGATATTCTGAATCCTTTTTCTACTTTTGAAAAGAAGTTATATTTATTGAGCACCAGCTGTGTTCCATATCGTAGACTGGACGCTTTTGCAAAGACACACAGTGAAGCCTATGTTCAGTGCATTAGGCTGCCTGCTTAAAGCTATCCAAGATGATTTTACTGAATGTGTTTAGAAACAAATGTAACCTTTGCAATCTATTGATGGAAGAAAGTATGTGGAGCAAAATAATCATTGCTTTTAATGAGCCTTAATCTAGAAAAATCACAAAAATTGGGAATAACAAAACCCATGCAGTCATCATGCCCTTTGCTCTGTTGTGCTCTAGAGTTGTACTTAGATAATCTGGACATAAAATGAGTTTCTGCAAAATCATAGCACAGAAAAGTGGAAGAATCGCCAGCATTTATCTTATTGTTTACCCTGTTGGGTTCAACACAACAGTTCTGAGTTTGAACAGCCCTAAGTTTTAAGAGGAATTCACTTCACTCTAAAGGGTAAGCAGCCCTTTGTGTCTAGTGATTTTGTTCTTCACTAGACTGAATACACCTGTTCCCCGAGGAGAGGAAACTTCATTTCATTTTGAAACAGCTTGTTAAAAACAACTGTTAAAGTTAGGAATAACTCCTTTTCATTCTTCGCTTGCACAGCGTTTTACTGTGATGCCTAAGTTGAGTGGCTGTACTCTATGTCCAACTAATGCTTACAATCTTGTGCCTTTTATCATTTCCCTCTTTTACTCATAAGTGTGGAATTGGCATGAAAAGGCAAAGTGAGTCAGACGTAAGTTGCCTCCAGTTTAGGACTTCCTGCCCATTCAAATGCCAGACAGGTGGAAGTATTACAAGGAATTGTGTTGTTTCTCCATTTAAGTGGACAATGGATTTTTAAATTGATGAGGAATAATAAATTTAAAGCCAATTCTTAGAATTTTTTATTTCTAACATTAATAAAGTGGAGCATAAGCGTCATGCCATATATTACAATCATGAATGGTGTTTTGTTTCTGCTTCAATTTGTTCTCTCTGACAAATACATGAACCTTCTCTTCCTACGTTCTCATATTTAAAAATAAATGTCAACCACTGTCCTCTGCTTTTTATGGATTTCCAGTGCTTGAATATATTCTTATTTGGCTTATGATTTTTAAGTCTGAGTTAGAATTTTTTTTTTTACACTTTGTGGCTAAAGTGCAGGAAATTTATAAATGCAGGTGTTTGTTTTGTTATTGATAGAGGATATTGATTAGGTGAAAAAAATATTATCCACTTAACTGTGTACTATTTAATCATGTGTACTCTCAGCTATACATCAATACATTATATGTCACTGTTTCAGATAGGTTCTGTTCACTAAGGAAAGTGTCAAGATACGTGCTTCCTCTTAAACAGTTTTGAGAGTAACCCTTACTTTGCCTTTCTACTTGCATTCCCCTGTTGGCCACTGGTCCTGTTATCTTTCTGCATCCCCTACTTCATTTTGAGTAGGTAAGTGCCAGTGGCAGCAGGTGGGTAAGTAATTTTATCCTATTTTTATGAATGTACAGAATATATTTTTATGCAGTATTTGATTGTTCTGTACAAGTCACCAAATATATAATTAATGAAACTGTCTTAGTGTATATTAAGAATATGAAAGTTTTTATACTTAAAGACTTTAAAACATCTTTTATATGTAGGTTTTGAAAGATGAATGTGAAATAATTCCAATATAGTATATTTTAACAAGCAGGGTAGCTGTGTAAAAAAGAAACACATTTTTACATATTATGCTTTTCTCATCCTTGAACTAAAATTTATTGTCTCTCCATATCAGAGGAAGCCTTAAATCTTTGAGATTTTTGCTCATTTGTCCTTTTTACTGGTGGACATCAAATAAGTAGCTGTTTGAGTTGAATATTTATAACTACTTACTAATGAAAGATGTGAAAAAGGCCAATTTTTTTCTAAGTAGAATTGTGATGTAGGAAACGAATGCTTTAGGACACCTGTACAGTTGTATCACATTTTACTTTTCAAGTTTGCTTGACAGGGTCAGTGCTGCTTGCCCATTTAATAAAGCTGGACAGCATCGCAGCCAGCATCTTCTCGGTCTTCGGAAAGCTGTCTACAGAACTGTCAGAGCCAACTTCCAAGCAGCAAGGCTAGCTACCTTATATATGCTGAAAAAATATCCTTTTCTGTCCATCTGTGAAAGTAAGCAATATACCCAGTCATAACAGATAGAATAGCTGCATCCTGTGTTAAGTATAAACTAAGATTACCTATTTAGAAACTAATTTCCATCAGCACTTCTATTTTAAAATTGGAACTGCATTCCAGGAGGAATGACAATAATAGACGGGAAGAAATTCCTCTGCTTTTGTGTGGCTCATTTTTAGCAAGGAAAAAAAGTTGAGGTGCCTCCCTTCACCCGTCCAGAGAATAAAGTAAAAAAAAAAGAAAAGAAAAAAAGCCTAGATTTCCTCGGTGTGATTTCAAAAAATTACTGAATATGAGGCATTTATATCATGGCATGGTAATAACCTAGCAACAGGAGATTACCACCAGACCCTAGGGGCAGACTGAAGGAAGTTCTAATTTGGGCTTTATTAGTTGCTGAATCTGGAAATCAGATCTTTTCTTTTTCATTTTGGGACCCATGTTGTAAAGTGGTTTGTTAAGCCTTTGCCTACCAGGCTGATATCCCATATGGGCACCAGTTTGTGTCCTGGCTGTTTTGCTTACAATTCAGCTCCCTACTATTGTGCTTGGAAAGGCAACAGAGGATGGCCCTAGTGATTGGCTCCCTGTACCCACAGACGAGACCTAGAAGAAGCTTCTGCTTCTAGGCTTTTGCTTGGCCCAGTCCCAGCCCCTGCAACCAATTGAGAGGTGAAGCAGCTAATGAAATATCTCTCACTCTTCTCTCTACTTGTAACTCTGACTTTCAAATAAATGAAATAAATTTTTTGAAAAAATATAAGATCGTCATTTTAGTGAAGATTTATAAGTAAAATTATGAATAAATGGATAATTACAGCATAATTTCTGCATGCTATTGTATCACTGACAATAACAGTGCATAATAATATAGTGCAAAATATTTTACTTTCTATCCTTATATCCTACACAGATCTTCCTAGCTATGTTGTCTTGTCTCTACTTTAGGAGAAAGCAAAAAGCAAAAGTTAAGTGCTTACTAAGCGTCACACAACTAGTAATTGATTGTATGTTTGACTGTAGGATTTAGAACTTGAGTGAATCTCTCATTTCTGTTTGTGTGTATTTCCTATGTCATATTGCCCCTTTGAAAATGGATATAATTCATTGTAATAGTGGTCAAGAACTTGTACAGCTTCCCCATTGGCTAGATGCCTGCCGGGTTTATGACAGGTGCTAGTAAGACAGAATAAATATGTGTATTAACATGTTTAAAGAAGTATGTTCAAAGAGAAAATAAATCGGAAATGTATATTCTATTTTAAAGAGAAAATAACATTATATGCAAAACATAAAAAGTATGTAGCTATTATAGAGTTCTTAACACAGTGTTGTGGAATGATATATACATTTTATTGAGAGAAAAAATGTAGCAGGTGCACAGAACTGTATTTGAGTATCTTCCCTTTGGTACCTAAAAAAATTCTACAAATGTGGAGACAACTAAGTGTGGATGTATTTGCATGTTTGTGTGTATACCTATTTCACTATATACTTATCTCCGCAACTTGTTAATAGTTGCATTTGCTTTTACATATATATGCATAAAATATTTATTTATTTTTCTTGGAAAGGCAGATATACAGAGAAAGCACACAGGGGGAGATCTGCCAAAGTCTGTGTTCACTCTTCCAGGTCTCCCACGCAGGTGCAGGGTCCCAAGGCTTTGGACGGTCCTCAACTGCTTTCCAGGACACAAGGAGAGGGCTGGATGGGAAGTAGAGCAGCCAGGACATGAACTAGTGCCCATATGGCATCCCAGCACATGCAAGGCAAGGACTTAGCCACTAGGTTATCACATCAGCTCTGCATAGAATTTCTTGAGCCACATGGAAGATAGTGGTGACAGGGATTTCCATTCCCTTTGGGTAAAAAAGTTAGTGGCAAATGGGCAAGGGTGCGAAGCAGTTTTCACTGCAGCTCCTCAATGCCTCGTGAATTTTGAATCCTGTGAATGTGTTATCTATTCTAATGTTAAATAGGGGAAAAGCTAACCACTTGATCCAGTTGTTTTTAAAATTCATTTTGTTGAATATATTTCATTGAAAGGCATTAAGACAGACAGAATGAGTGCATTAATTCAGTGGTTTAGTTCCCAAATACCTGCAGCAGCCAGGACTAGGTCAGACAAAAGGCAGGATCCAAGAACTCAGTCCAGGTTTCTCATGTGATTGGCAGAGATGCCAGTACTTCAGCTATCATCTGCTGCCTCACAGTGTGTGTGCATTTTCAGAAAATTGGAATGGTTGGAACTCAGAACTCAGTCGAGCTGAAGCTTAACTACTATGCCAAACACCTACCCTCTCGATGATTTGATTTTTTTTTTATTGAGACTATAGCAAAGATTTTTTTTTAATAAGTTGAGGCTGATGCAGTGGCTCAACTGCTTGTCTTCTACCTCCAAGAGCAACATCCTATATGGGCACGAGTTTATGTCCCAGCTGCTCCAATTCCCATCCAGCTCCCTGCTTGTGGCCTAGAAAGCCTTGGGGGATATCCGAAGCCTTTGGGACCCTGCCACCTGCATGGGAGACCCAGAAGAAACTCCTGACTCCTAGCTTCAGATCTGTTTCATTCCAGCCATTTCAGACATTTGGTTTGTGAACCAGCAGATGAAAGATTTTTCTCTCTGTCTCTTCTTTCCTCTGTAAATATACCTTTCCAAAGAAAATAAATGGAAATTTAAAAACAGAAAAGTAAAGGGGACACATTTTTGGTGCGTAAATTAAGCTGATGTCCCATGTTAGAATGCCAATTCAAATCCCAGCTATTCTCTGCTGATAGATTCAGCTCCATGATAATCCACCTGAGAAGTCATCAGAAAATGACCCAAATACTTGGACCCAGGATGTAGTTCCAGGCTCCTGTCTTAAGATCTGGCCCAATCCTGGCCATTTTAGCCATTTAAGAGTAAGCCAGTGAATGAAAACTCCATCTCTCTGTCTCTTTCTCTCTCTGCCTTTCAAATAAAGAAATCTTTAAAAAGAAAAAAAGTCAAGACAGAAGAGACTCCTGCATGTCATTATATTCATAAACATATTATAGTGCTGAGCTGGTACTGTGTTATGGGAAGCTAATCTTCTGTGGGACCAGCATCACATATGGCATTAGTTCAAGTCACAGCTACTCCACTTTCAGTCTAACTCTCTGCTTATGGTCTGGGCAAACTGGAAAGGATGGCCCATGTCCTTAGACCCCTGCACCTACATGAGAGACCCAGAAGAGGCTCCTGGGATACCAGCTTTGGACCAGCCTAGCTCAGGACATTGTGGCCATTTAGGGAGTGAGTCAGTGATTAGGAAATCTCACTGTCTCTCTGTAACTCCTAAGTAAAATAAATAAATATTTAAAAAAACACTGTAGTCTCAGTAGCGAAATATGACATATTAAAAATACAATAACTACATTAGCATCATAAATGGAGATATAAAATATTGAACTAGGATGTATATTTAATCTACTGCAGTTATTACAGGATTATGCTAGAAATCCAAAGATGATTCAATATTAAAAAATTATATGGGTATAACTTCTTAAAAAGGAGTTAAAAGGGGAAAATCATTTATGGCTATTAGTATATGCTCGTAAGGACAAGGAAACAGCAGTAATTTATATAGGACAAACTTAGTACTATTGTAGACTTTGTGTTACAAAAGCTGTTCAGCTAATGATGTTCTGGGGTACACTGAGGAAAAGGGTATCAGAAATAATTAAAGTAGCATTTTAATGCCTTTGAAAAGTTTCATGTTTCGTTATCTAGACATAAAAACCTTTATTCACAAGTATCTTATAAAATATCTGAGATGTTATGTTTGTGCTTTTATTTAAGGGTCAGCCTTTTAGCTTAGCAATTGAGGTGCCCTTGTGCCCATATGGGAATAGTTGGGTTTGCTTCCCAGCTCTGGCTCCTGGCTTGCTAGTTAGCTTCCTACTAATGCAGACCCTGGTGACAATAAAAATAAGTAGGTTTGTGCCAACCACATGGAAGACAGTGTTGTGTTCTCAGCTTCTGGCTGCAAATCCAGCCATTGTAGGCATTTGTAGAATGAACTGATGGTGGAAGGCTTCTCCATCTTACTCTTTTTTATTTTTCTTTTTTTAAGATTTATTTACTTTTTATTGCCAAGGCAGATATACAGAGAGAAAGATCTTCCATCTGCAGGTTCACTTCCCTAAAGACTCCAACAGCCAGAGCTGATCCAAAGCCAGAAGCCAAGAGCTGCGAGCTTCCTCGGAGTCTCCCACATGAGTGCAGAGTCCCAAGGTTTTGAGTCACCTACTGCTTTTCCAGACCACAAGCAGGGAGCTGAATGGGAAGTGGAGTAGCTTGGATGCAAATCAGCACTCATATGGGATCCCTGCTCTTAGAGGTAGATTAGCCAACTGAGCCGTCCCACCAAGCCCAATTTACACTTTCTCTGCCTATCAAATAAATAAACTTTAAGATACTTATGTATTAGGTGTTAAGAATAATTTATGTTTTAAAAACTGGCATAAATCTTAAACAAAAATGTACAGGAAAGGTCAGTAAACAGTTTTGAGCAATGTTACTGTACCTTTTAAAGTTTAACGAAAAAGGCTTTGTTGATTGCCTTAACCTAATTTAACCTACCCCCTGAACTCTGAGAGCGACAATGTAACCAACTACATCTGTGTGGTGCCTTTTAAGGAGCTGGGCCTTGGCCTCAGTGAAGAGCAGATTTCTGAAGAGGAAGCACATGATCTTACAGATGGTTTCAGCTTGCCTGCTTTGAAGGTAATCCGCTGGTCAAAGAAAGAGCTAAGGAAGAAGCTGGGCATCGTTACTGTCCTTATAAATGTCTCGGTGACTTCTGCGACAGTTTTTAAAAACTGAGATAATCATAATGCTTGATTGAATCTTTATTTTTGATGTCAAAACAGTTCTTATAAAAATGTCTTTGACTTTAGGGGTAATTTCATGTAATGATAAACCAATATGATTTTTTTTTTACTCATTTGTTTCAATAAATATAGATAAACCGTTTTAGAGCTACATCTTCCCTTGGAAAATTGTTTAAAAGCTTGAATAGGTTTTTTTTCATGTATTAAAAGGCATGTAAAAGAATACATTTAACTACATAAAAATTGAACATCTGGGGACTGACACCGTGGTGTGGTAAATTAAGCACCACTTGCAACATTGGTGTCCATGTGAGAGTGCTGGTTCAAAGCCTGGGTGCTCCGCTTCCTAGCCAGCGCCCAGCTGCTGTGCCTGAGAAAGCAGCAGATGATGACCCAGTGTAGTGCTTTTCTTCACACCTCATTAATCAAAGATTCTATCTTGTTGGTTTCTGTATTGCCCATTTGCCTCCTTTTAGAATACATTTTATCAGCATGAAGGGTTTTTTGTTTGTTTGTTTTTTGTTTTTTTGGTCATGGTTCTATTGTTAGCACCTATAAAAATGCTGACATACAGTAGATGTCCGGGAAATATTTTCTGGGACCAGTGTTGTGGCATAGCAGGCATCCCGTATGGTCTCTTGTTCAAAACCCGGGCATTCTGTGGGTCTAACCCAGCTCTTTGCTAATGCACTTGGACTCTTACACCCACCCGGGAGATCCATATGAAGTTCCTGTCTGCTGATGCTGACCTGGCCCATCCCCAGCTATTGTGTCCATTTGTGGAGTGAGCTAGCAGTAGAAGGTCTCTTTCTGTCTCTCCCTTACTTTCTCTCTGTCTCTATAATTCTGCCTTTCAAATAAATAAAAATAAATCTTAGGAGAATATTTTCTGAACTAACAAGAAGAATTAAGAAAAAAATTTTAAGACTTATTTTTTTGTTTTTATTGCCAAGTTAGATTATACAGAGAGGATGAGAGACAGAGAGGAAGATCTTCCATCCGATGATTCATCTCCCAAATGAGCACAATGGCTGGTGCTGCGCCAGTCCGAAGCCAGGAGCCAGGAACTTCCTCCAGGTCTCCCATGCAGGTGCAGGGCCCCAAGACCTTGGGCTGTCCTCAACTGCTTTCCAGGCCACAAGCAGGGAGCTGGATGGGAATTGGAGCTGCAGGAATTAAAACCAGCACCATACGGGATCCCATTGCATTCAAGGCGAGGGCTTTAGCTGCTATGCTATTGCACTGGGCCCAAGAATAAAAAATTGTAATTATAAAACAACAGTTAAATAAGAACACTTTTAAGTTTGTATCCAAGAAATCCTCAATTAAAAGCCTCTGGGAATTTAAAAATTTGACCTTGCTTTCTTTAAAATATATGTAGGCTTAAATGAAATAATTATTTATATAATTCTAAAATTTCTTTGATGACACCATCTAAAAAATGTCCACTATAGTTATGAGTAGGCAGAATCCATTAACCCTGAAGTGATTCAGTCCTCTCTTTGCTGTCTGCCTGCCCATACTCATATTGGATTGCTAATGTTTGTTTTGGAGCTGTCTGTCTCCAATAAGACGGTATTGGAGAAATCCTCTGCCACAGGGAGTCAGGCCTTGTCCTGAGAAGATGGCTCATGGATTCTCATCCTGACATTGCTTGTATGAGGATCATTCTTGGGCTGATTTTTGTGATAGATTCTTGGTTAACTACCAAGCCAAGAAAATAGTGTAATTTTGAACCCCAAACTGTGAATCCTTTAGTAACTATCTCTTTGGACTTACTGTGTACTCCACTGTCTTCATTTCTCTCATGTGAACATTTTAATTCACGAAGGAATACTACTTTCTGTTTAGAACATTCCATCAATACCTCTCTAGAGTAGAACTGTTCTATGTCATGTATTAGCATTGTTTCTGCTCCGACGTTCCCACCGTGCCCTGACTGCAGAATTTGATATAAAATTTTTAACTAACGTGGAGTTAGTTCAAGCTCAGCTATACTCGTTATTTAGGATAAAGTCAGAAATGTAAGCCAGAAGTTCAAGATAAATACATCAATACTTTGTTTTGAATGCTGACCAATCTTTTTATTGATCTAATCTTTCTGTTAGGTTTTGTTCCAGCTCTGGGTGGCGCAGAGTTCAGAGTTCTTCAGGCGGCTAGCCCTGTTGCTTTCTCCGGCCAGTTCACCTCCGGGGCCTTCGCATGCTCCAGCACTGTTGCCTCATCGTATTTTATCTGATGTGACACAAGGTCTACCTCACGCTCACTCTGCCTGTTTGGAAGAGCTCAAGCGCAGCTATGAGTTCTATCGGTACTTTGAAACTCAGCACCAGTCAGCTCCACAGCGCTTACCCAGACCTCAGCAGAAGTCAAGAGAACTGAATAACGTTCACACAGCAGTGCGCAGCTTGCAGCTCCATCTGAAAGCGTTACTGAATGAGTAAGTTGAGAAGCCATATAAGGAAATGTCCTCATCCTTAGCAAGCATTATTTTTGTGCCATTGTGGTTACTGGCTTGTGTCCTAGCTGGAAATAGAAACGAATTGAGACAGTAGCATCAAGGATGGTTTATAGCTACACATGGAGTAGAGAAACAGTGATTTATAAGTACTGTAATTTGGAGGAGTCAGAGTTTTTCCTTTTCCTGATTCATCTCAAAGCTAGAAAGATAGGACAGAAGCAGAAGCTCGTGACCTGTGAGAGCTGAAATAGAGGAGCTTGTCAGGCGTGAGCTGCTTTTAGCTCTTCAGGTTGGACTGTTCACCTGCAGCCTGCAGTGTGAGAGAAATCCCTGCCAGCGCCAGCACAGTACATGAAGCATTGTTCTGTATTATTGCAGAGTAATATCTTCATGTTTTTATAAGTCAGTTATAACAGATTTTAGAAATTTTCCTGTGACACAAGATATGTTTTTAGGCCCCAGTTTAACACTAAGATGTAAGATGCAAAGTGCTATTAATGATCTGCTTTAGGTGGTTTTCTTAATACTCTGCTTTAATTTCTAGACTGTAATGACCCATTCATGTACATTTTTACCAGTTGAAAATATTACTTTCGTGTATTTTTATGGAGAAATTTTAAAATTTAAAACTTGAGCAATCATTTTTAGTGAAATTTTTCTCTAATAGCTAAATATTCATAAAGACCATAGTGCTGGTTATCAGAGCTTTCATAAGAAATTATGAGGAGTGGCCAGTGTTGTGGCCTAACAGATTAAGCCACTGGCAATCACACTGGCATCCCATAGGAGCACTGCTTTGTGTCCCAGGTGTTCCACTTGTGATGCAGCTCCCTGCTGCTGAACTCGGGAAAAGTAGCAGAACATGCCAACTGCTTGGATCCTGCCACCTACATAGAAAATCTGGTTGGGCTCCTAGCTTGGACTTGGCCCAGCCCTGGCTTTTGCAGTTATTCAGGGAATGAACCAACAGATGGAAGATCTCTCTTTCTTCTTCCCTTTCCGTATGGCTTTGCCTTTCAAATAAATAGTAGATAAATAAGAAGAAATTAATGCACTCCTAGGATTATAGTTGATATACTTGACCCTGAAGCCAGGGGGGATTGAAACAGAGAAGGTACCAATTAGTTTTTTTTAAAAAAAACAAAAACAAGAAAACAGTTCAAAGGATTTGCCATATAAGTAAAATGTGAAAAGCTTGTGTAACTGCAATGATGAAAGATAACAAGTTCCAGGGTCAGTACACAGAATCAGAAAGTTTCAACCCACCTGTTTAATACCATGGATGGGTTAGGACAAAGGCAGGTCGTGGCCTAGTATTTAAGCCTTGTGTTGGGATGTCTGCATTCCATATAAGAGTATCTGGGTTCAAGTCCCAGCTCCACTCCAGATTGCAGTATCCTAGGAGGATGGTGATGGCTCGATTACTTGGATCCCTACATGAAAACTGGATCAAACTCTTGGCTGTCAGCTTAAAATTGTCAAATCCTAGGGGCTTTGTTTGTTTCTTTTTGTTTTTAATTTGTTTATTTTATAATTTTTATGGTATAGTTCCGTAGGCTCTGGGATTTCCCTTCCCTCGTCCCCAGACCTCCACCTAAATCATTACATTAGTGTAGTCCTTCATGGTCAGTCATAAGACCATCATTCTGTTCTTTAAGTGTATCCTAACATTGTGGGAATGGACAATGGCAGACAATCAGCATCCTATTTTCACAATGTATCTATCAATTTCATTAGTAATCCGTCTTTGATTTTGAAGTAGAGATGTATACCGTATTACATCTTCACATCTGGACGTGATAGTCTCTATTACACAGTTACTATGTATCTCCTTAAATGATAAGCCATAAAACAAAATCAACAACAAAAAGAAAAAAAATAGAGAATTAGCGAAGATAAAGTTAAATTGCATGCTACTGAATGACCAGTGTATCACTGAAGAAATGAAAAAGAAAATCAAAATCCTTGTTGAGGCAAACAGTGCTACTGCATGACCTGTGACTCAGAGAGGAAATGAATAAGAAAAAAATACTTTTCTGAATAAAATGAAACTAAAAACATATCAAGCCTTCTGAGATATAGCAAAAACAATATTTAAAGGGCTATTAATCTTGTTTTTGCATGAAGGTTGCCTTATAACAGAGAGAACATTTTGGGATTGACTTATTTCACCGAACATAATGGTCTCAAGTTGGGAACATTTGGTTGCAAATGGTTGAATTTCATTCTTTTTATTGGTCAAGTAAGAGTCCATGGACTAGATGCACCACAGTTTGTTTAGTCACTCTTTTTTCAGGCATCTGTGCTGCTATGTATAAAAGACTACAGATCCATTTTTCACACGCAGGTCTCATTTCCTTTGGATATATTCCCTGAAGTGGGATAGCTGGGTCATGTGGCAGATCAATTTTCAGTTCTTAGCACTCTCCGTACAGACTTCCATGGTGATTGTACTAGCCTACACTCCCACCAGCAATTAAGGAGGGTATCTTTCTCCTTACATTCATGCCAGCAAGTGTTGTTTATATAGTTCTGAATGCAGACCAATCTCACTGGAGTTAGATGGAGTTAGGTTTTCATTTGTATTTCCCTGACAACTAGGGAGCTTAAGCATTTTTTCAAATCTCTATTATCCATTTGAATTTACTCTTTTGAAAAATGTTCATTTCCTTTGCCCATTTTTTTTACAGAGTTGTTTTACTCTCATTGAGTTTCCGAATCTCTTTACAAATCCTGGATATTATTCCTCCATCTGTTGTATTTTGTGCAGATTTTCTCCCATTCCATTGGTCGCTTCTCCACTTTGTTGGTCATCATCTTTGCTGAAAGAACCTTCTCAGCTTGCGAATCATAGTATTATAGGAGTGAAAAACAGTGGATGGGAGCTCTTAGTAGCTCTGTATCTCTGCCTCTCAGATAAAATTTTGAAAAACTTTGAGTAGAGAAAATGAAGAAACTTTTAGATGAGGATGTTCAGGTGTTCTATATCTGTATTCTAAAAAAAATATCAATGAGGGGACAGGGCAAAAGCTACTACTGGCTAATCCTCCATCTTGCAGCATTGACATTCCATATGGATGCCAGTTCATGTCCCAGCTTCTCCATTTCCCATCCAGCTCTCTGCTTATGACCTGGGAAAGCAGTAGAGGACAGCCCAAAGCCTTGGGACCCACCGGTGTGGGAGACCTGGAGGAAGTTCCTGGCTCCTGGCTTCGGATTGGCTCAGAGCTGGTGATTTTGGCTGTTTTTGAGTGAACCAGTAGATGGACAGTCTTTCTCTCTGTTTCTCCTCTTCTCTATAAACATGCCTTTTCAAATAAATAAATAAATATTGAGAGAGAGAGAGAAAGAAAAAGAAAGAAAGGAAGAAAAGGAGAACAGATGAGCATCGCCCTGACTCTTAGTCCTGTCCCCCACAGGAAACATGGAAGATGAGGTCCTCTCCACTGGAGTGGGTGGCAAAGGTTGGATCATCATCAGAAGAAAGTAGGACTTCTGTGAAAAGGTATTAGGCAAAGCCAGGGTCTCTGAATAATTCGTTTTTGTTAATAGAATCAGATATAAAGTGTCTTCAACATTTATGGTAATGCATATTATGAAAAAACTGTGTATTTGGATTTCAGAATCTTCTTACACCCAAATAAATTAATGTTACAATTCCATTTTTTCATGAATTTTGAAAGCTCCCATGTAAATAAGGCCTATTAAATGCATTAATGTAAGGGAAGATGTCTTAAAGAAGGAAAAGTACTGTACATGTACATAAACATACAGAAGAAGGAGCCACCATCTGTGACCCCGACATCCCGTATTGGGGTGCAGTTCGACTTCCTGCTGCTGCATTTCCAGTCCAGCTACCCTCTAACACGTCTGGGAAAGGAGCAGAAGATGACCCAAGAGGCTGGGTTCCTTCCACCTATGTGTGAGCCCCAAATGAAGTTCCCGGACCCTTGTTCTGGCCCGGCCCAACCTCAGCTGTTTCAAGTATCTAGAACATGTTTTACATTTCTGTCTTCCTTGTCCCCTTGGCTGATCTTACTCTTGGTGCCTAGAATAGGGCCATATTGTCTCTAGCCCATGCAAGGGCGTTAACCCCCAACACCTCTCCCCCTACAGAATGTGGACTGCCAGATTAATGTAACTGGCTCTTTTATTTGCTTTCTCACTTCAAGCAGTGTAGTCATGTTTATAAAATATACTATAGAAGGGGTGTCAGCCCATCAGGGTCTCCCATGTGAGTGACAGGGGAAATCTCTGTTGCTTTTGCAGGTCATTAGCAAGGAACTGAGTTAGAAGTGGAGCACCCAGGCATTAAATTGGCACCTGTATGGGATGCCAGTGTTGTAGGCTGTGACCTGACCTGCTGCACTACAACACTGGCCCCATGAATTTCTGTGGAATCGTACTCTTGCTTCACTTCAACCAAACTCTATAGCTGCATTTACCCAGGCTCTATTTAGAGTGAGGTTTGTTTTTTTTTTTACCAATTCAGATTTTTTTAAAGATTTATTTTATTTGAAAGTCAGATTTACAGAGAGGAGGAAAGACAGAGAGAAAGATCTTCCATCCACTGATTCACTCCCCAAGCGGCCACAATGGCCAGAGCTGAGCCTATCCAAAGCCAGGAGCCTAGAGCCTCTTCTGGATCTCCAACATTGGTGCAGGGTCCCACGGCTTGTGGCCATCCTCGACTGCTTTCCCAGGCCACAAGCAGGGAGTTGCATGGGAAGTGAGACCACCAACATTAGAACTGGCATCCATAAGGAATCCCATTGCATACAAGGCAAGGACTTTTGCCACTAGGCTACTGTGCTGGACCCTACCAATTCAGATTTTGTCCTATGTTTACCAATACATAAAAAATACCTCTTCATTACTGTGTCCTGTATACCCACCTCTGGAATATAGGAAATCTCTTTTGAGTTCTCTTAATGCATTCTCTGTGACGATAAACCTTTTTAAAAGGAATTAATTTATTCATTTGAATATCACAGTTAAAGAGAGAAGGGATAGAAAGAAAGATCTTATATCTACTGGTTCATTCCCCAGTTGACCATAAAGACTACAGCTGAGTCAGGAACTAAGAGTGTCTCTGGGTCTCCCATAGGAGTGACAAGAGTGCAAGCACTTGGACCGTATTTCGTTGCTTTTCCCAAGCCAGCAGCAAGGTGTTAGACCAGAAGAGGAACAGCTAGGACACAGCCTGGCAGCTGTGTGGGATGCTGGCATCATAGACCACTGTAAACTGACAATGCCTGCCCTGAATTTATCCTTTTGTGCCTGGATTTAGCCACTTTTTTTTAATAAAGATTTATGTATGTAGTTATTTATTATTTATTATGGAAAATCAGATATACAGAGAGAAGGAAAGAGAGGAAGATCTTCCATCCATTGATTCACTCCCCAAGTGAACACAACACCCGGAGCTGAGCCAATGCAGGAGTCAGGAGCCTCATTTGGGTCTCCCACATGGGAGCAGGGTCACAAGGCTTTGGCCCGGCCTCGACTGCTTTCCCAGCTCACAAGCAGGGAGCTGGATGGGAAGTGGGGCCACAGGGATTAGAACCGGCGCCCATATGGGATCCTGGCGCGTTCAAAGCAAGGACTTTAACCACTACGCTATCGCACTGTGCCCTTGGTTTATTTTTTGACTATTTATTTGAGAGGTAGAAAAACAGATATACTGTGCTTTCATGCTCTAGTTTACTCCCCAGGTTCCATAGTTTGGGCCAGGCCAAAAGTGGAAATCAGGAACTCAGTCAGGGCCCAGCTACCTCAGCCATCATCTTCTGTCCCAGATGCCACATTAGCAGGAACCTGGCACTGATAGCAGAACCAGGTCTTGGACTCAGATAGTCCAGTATGGGATGTGCCTTAACCAACTTCTTGACGGGCAGGCCCAATGCCTGCCCCTGAGCAACTTTTCTTTAGCTCTCCAGGCCTAATTTCTTATCTATAAAATATAAATAAAACACTAGTTTTAATGATTTATAGTATTACATTTTATTTATAAATACATATAATTTCCCTTTTTGTAAATAGGAAAGAGATGAATTTCATTTATCCATTCAGCTCATAAAATCCAGAATAGCATAATATATGTATGATACCCTTTATAAGTTAACTTTAAAGTTGATAAAAAAAAAACTTAGCAGTTTTATTTAGCCATTCCTAAGTGTACAAGTTCATTGCATCCAGTACATAGATTTATTCCCATTGTCCCTTAAGAGTCACCATGCATCTCCAGGGCTTTCTTCATCTCACCAACTACATAAGTCTTGTCAGTTATTTCTCCTCTGTTTTGTGTTTCATCTATATGTTTCTGTTTTTCCTTATTACTCAGGGTAATCATTCTTGAAGATGAACTTGAGAAGCTTGTTTGTACTAAAGAAACACAAGAAGTAGTGTCAGAGGCTTATCAAGTCCTAGAAGAAAAATTCAAGTTGATCAAACCTCATGTGCAAGCAAGCAACAATTGCTGGGAAGAGGCCACTGCCCAGGTGGACAGATTGCTACGAAGAAACACGGAAAATAAAGGTATCTATGAGGCATTATGTAGGCACGTGCGCTATGAGACATGCTTATTCCACTCAGTAGGTAGAATTCTTGTCCACATGATAGTTTACTGAAAGAACACAAGTTTTTATTTATTAACTGGCAATACCAAATCTTTGCTCTTATTTTGTAAAAAACAAAATGATTTATAGGTTCAGTGAATTATATCTTCTGTTTAGAAAACTGAAATGAAACTTCTACTGATAGGGTAGTAAAATATTGAGTTTGATGGTCAGGGGTGAAAAGGCACTTCAGCCACAAAAATAGGATACACATGATTTGATCAGTGGTGCTGCATGTTCGTTGAGTTGGAAGTGTACTGTCACTTAATGTTACTGTATTAGGCCACTTCATGATACAGACATTCTTAAGATTTATACCATATTGCTTTAGTTTGACTCAGATTGTATGCTGTTCTGTGTTACATGTTAATTTTTAAATTGTGCTGTAAGGTTATATGCACTTATTTATGCAGTTGGATCATTGAGATTAACCAGAAATGCATAGAATTTATATTGTTGCCAAAGATAATTAATGCTTCATTATATCATTGGTTTTGCTTTAGCTAGCTTTGTAATACATTGTTTATTGTATAAAACAAGCTAAGTAATCTTTAGTTAATAAAAGTATTAACTTTTTTTCCAAAAAAAATTAGTGTGTTAATTACTGATATATTTACCAATAGGTTTCCTTGATATCTCAGATATGAATCATGAATAAATTTCTTCTCTAAAGAATAAATCTACCCAGGAATTTTTATATATGCAAATACTGAAATACTAAATCTACATATATATGAAGTCTAGAGTTTTAAGTATTTTACTTATAAATAGAAGCATTCTGCAAATCTTGAATGTTAGGACATACTTGTTTGACCTACCTTTAACACAATCTGAGATTAAATCCTCCTCTCTTGCTTTATTGTTAGCCATTATTAAAAGCTGTCTTCAAATATGTGGTAGGTAATTAAGATAAGTGGATTCTTAGTTACGTTCTTGTGAACCTGGATTAAATTCTTGGATAATGATGTGAATTAAGTCATAATTTACAGTGGCTATGAGTGTACACCTTTAAATATGATTTTGCTTAGGGGTTGGGAATTTGAAATATCCACATCCTAAAACAGAATACCTGTGTTCCAGTCCTGGTCCTGCTTCTGATCCAGCTTCCCGCTAAGGTGTTCTTTGGGAGGCAGCAGTGCTAGCTCAAGTACTCGGGTCCCTGTCATCCACGTGGGAGACCAAGACTCTGTTCTGAGTTCCTGGCCACAGCCTGACCCAATTCTAATTTGATTTTTGTAAAATTTAGTGGTTCTCTATTGGTTTTTACTTTTTATTGCTGAATAGTAATATATTATATAAATGCATATACGGGTTTATTCACCAGCTGAAGAGCAGATGGACTACTTCTATTATTTAGTAACAAATAAAACTACTGTAATTATTTGTGATTTTATTGTGAACACTGTTTTTTTCAGTTTCTTGAGAGTCGATACCTAGGAATGATACCACTGAGTTATTTTGTTTATGTACTAGTAGTGGTCAACATTTTGATAAAGAAAGCATGTATATAACATCCAAGTGTTCACAAAGTAACTATCATGAAAGTTGTTAAGGAAAGGTTGAAGAGAAAAAAAAAATGGCACAAAAACTAAATATCCTACCAATCAGAATTTGCCCACACAAAAGTTAATATCAGTACAAGCACTAAGTTATTAGTTGGCAGTGTTAATTTTGTGATTTCTGATGGTATGTTATTAGTACATAGAATAATTCCAAGTGTTTTTGAAACAGAAATCATTAGGAATAGTGGAGTCTTATGCTTACAACTTTCAAACAGTACAGAGTAACACTGTCACCAAAAGGATTATATACACACAGTTGTAAGCACAGAACGCAAACATGGTAAAATGTCAGAATTAGGAAATACGGATGAAGGATTTAAGGAACTTTGCAGTTTTTCTGTAAGGCTGAAATGACTTCTAAATAAATCATTAAATTTTGTGTTTGTATTTTATTTATTTATTTATTTGAAAGATGCAATTCCAGAGGGAGAGAGAGAGGGACTCTTGCATCCACTGGTTCTCTCCATAAATGTCTACTACAGCCAAAGCTGAGCAGGCTGAAGCCAGGAGCCTGGAACTCCATGTGGCTCTTTCCTGTGGGTGCAGGGGCCTAGGTACTTGGGATATCTTCCTTTACTTCCCTAGGCGAATTAGCAGGAAGCTGGGATCAGAAGTAGACAGGCTTGAACTGGTGTTCATATGGGTTGCTGCCATCACAGGCAGTGTCTTAGCTGATGCACAACAACTCTGGCCCCTACGTAATTTTTTTTAAGATAATAATAAGGAAAGTAGCATGCCACAAGATGAATTAGTCTCTAATGCCTTGCGCTCAGGGAAAGGAACCAGTTTCAAACCACTGCACACTATATTATTCCATGCATATAAGCTCAAAATTACAAAGGAGCAGAAAATAGATCAGTGTTTGGCAAGAATTGTAGATGGAAGGAAAAATGAGTTCCAATATGCAGTATAATAAATATTTGGACTATGAGGCTGTTCTCTTTGTTGATTTTGGTGGCTTTCTGATTCTATTAATTTGTCTAAATTCTGAATTATATACCAAAGAGTGAATTTTTAAATGAATAAGGTTTAATTATTTTTGCCTACTTATCGTAATTTTAGCTTGATTTTGATATCACTTAATGGTTGTCAGTTGGTTATTTTCTAATTCTATTTCTCCTTTCACACTTATTAGTTGGCAGTCTAATGTAAGGTAATACATCCCCTTTCCCATTTGTTTACTTATTTATTATATCAATGTGGACTCAGCCTCTGTTTTATTCAGTAAATCGTAATTCATTACTATTGTTATTTATTTTGCTCAAATCGTCCTTCAAGCTAGCTTGTATCACCATCATTCTTTGAACACTTCCTTACTTTCTTATGTTTGCCATACCCCAGGTTTGACATCAGCTGTGTCTCTAAGAAACCCTTATTTATTTTCATGGAGGATGATATTTAGAAACCAAGGCCAGGGAGGTGGTCATTTGACCTAAAGTGGTTAATGTGACCAAATCACCTGTGTTTAAGTGCCTGGGTCGAGTTTCCTGCTAATTCAGATCTTGGGAGGCAGTACTTGGATCCCTGTCCACCCACATGGGAGTCCCAGGTTGAGCTCTCAGCTCCCAGGTTTGGCCTGACACAGCCCTGGCTGTTTTGAACATCTCACTGCCATTTTCATGTGTGTGTGTGTGTGATCTGTCTTTCAAACAAAATGAAGTAATAACTAAATAAAAGTTTTAAAGTGAAGGGGCTAGGTATGCTCCTTGCCACTGGAATCCCTTTCAAAGTAAAGATGAAACTCCAAAATATGTGTGTATATAAATTAACATGTCTTATTTCTTACACATTCATATATTGTACTTATCTGTTCATATGTATTATAAATGTTGAGCTCATACCCAGAATCTCTACTTCAGTTCCAGCACCACCATTTATTGTCTCCTTCCCCATTTCTTCATTTCTGTCTCTTTCTTGATTATGAGAAACTTGGTTCCTATTCCCTTCAGAATATTTACTGATTTGCACATTCTCCTTTTGTGTAACTAATTGTTCGATGCTATAATTTGCCTCCTAAGCCACATGACTACCCTCTTAGTCTGTGGGAATCTCTTCCTTTCTTGGCCCCAGCTTGCTTTGACCACATTAACCCATACAAGCCAAGAGTGTTTCTTTTATCAACATCTTACTGTCCATGGCTGGCTAGAAGCTCCTCTTCTTTCCCCATTCCCACTCCTACCATCCAGATGACTCATTCAAGCTGCTTCTTGCATATTAGTACCATTTTAATACCCCACAAATGTGATTTTTCTGAAAACACCTAGTTTGCTATCACTGTGGAAATCATTGAAAGTAGGTTATTGCTTGGCATTACTCAAAAATTGCCATAGGAAAAAAACTGATTTCCCATTATTCTAAAGATCACAGTACTGCAACAGGTATAGCTGATCAAGCTGCCACTTGAGAAGCAACCCATATCAGGGTGCTGGTTTGAGTCACAGCTTGTCTACTTCCAATCCAGCTTTCTGCTAATGTTCCTGGGAAGGTGATGGAAGATGGCTCAAGTCTTTAGACACCTCCACCCATGTGGGAGACCCAGATGTAGTTCCTGGCTGAGCACAGGCTCTTTCCACCACTTGGAAAATTAACCAGTACATGAAAGATGTCTTTCCCTCCATTTCTCCCTTCCTATTGCTGTGCCTTTTAACTAGATAAATCTTTTTTTAAAAGCACATGTTAAAATCCTTAATATTTATTACATTTAGGGCCCTGTTATTCAAAATGATGTCCAAACTAACATACAAGCATAACTTGAGAGTTTGTTAATAATGCTTCAATATTAACCTTCATTTTAACAAGACTTGATGATCTGTATACACATAAAGGTGTAAGAAATCCCAAGACAGAGATCTGCGATTGTTTTCTTTTCCTAGAAAAAACAAACTATTTCCTTTTTATAGGCCATATGACTGTTAGACCTACTCAGAACTCTAGTTGTAGTATGAAAGTATAGTAAGACTATACCTAAAACAGTGGTCTGTAAGTTTTTTGTTTTGTTGTTGTTGTTGTTTTTCCAAAGAAATGGCATTTATTTGGCCCTTAGGCAGATCCCTGGTATTTGGTAGGTGGAATTAAGGAATAAGGAGATCACTTTATGCACTTATGTGCTATTCCTGGCTGTTACCATGAACATACAACTTAAAATAGGATTTTAAAGGGGAAAAAAATAGGCATATTTTTGGATAATGTCTGTTAATGTTAAAAAAAAATCTAAATAAAGGGCTCTTATTTTGTTGAGGTATTTGATAGCAAGTTTGTTTTTCAGCCTCAAACCTTTCACAGAAAGAGACTTAAGTACAATATACGGAAACACAAATAGTTAAATATGTTTGTGTGATATAAATGAAAAAAAGACGGTATTACAGTCTTTCTTGCTGAAGTTGCAATTTAATGGAATGCTAATTTTTTCCAAAATGCCAACATCATAAGCTGAAGTAGTAGTTCACCCAAATCCTTTTAATACTGCATTCACCCAGGACTGTAAGTTAATTGTTGGGCTTGTGACAGATGCATGGTAGATTTTTATTAAATGAGTTGCGTGCTGGATTTGATTCTCCAGGCATTATTAAGTATTAGGGAGTTTTATGAATCAATTTAATATTGTTGATAGCTTTAAATTAGTCATCATGGATGTATTTACATCATAGAAATAGAAAATCTACAAATGCTACAAATCAGTGTATTGTTTGATAACTGGCTTGTTAGCAGACTGTTTAATGTACTGGCTTATTGTTCCTATTAGTAGTAATTTGAATTTCGATTTTCTTTTTGTTAAAGATGCCCAGATATATTGTGAGTGTTGATATGATGAAACTTAACATTTTCCAAATGTATCCTTTTTTAAAGTTTTTATTTACTTGAAAAGCAGAGACACAAAGAGTCCATCTACTAATTCACTACCTGAGCAAGAACTGAGCCACGCTAGCCCAGAGTCAGGAATCTGGGACTTAGTGCAGGTCTCTTATATGGGTGATGGGTATGTAAGCCTTCCCCTGCTGCCCTCCCAGGATGCACATTAGCAGGAAGCTAGTATCAGAGGCAGAGCTGGGACTCAGAACCTGGCATGCTGGTGTGGTTTGAGCTTCACAGATCCATGTCAGCTGCTGTGCCAAACATCTGTCCTTTTCCCGCTTTCAAAAAAGGGGGAAAAAAATTTTAAGAACATTTAGGGGCCAGTGTTGTAGTGCAGCTGATTAAACCACCACTTGCAACACCAGCATCTCCTATCAGAAAACTGGTTCGAGTCCCACTTCCGATTTAGTTCCCTGTTAAAGTGTCTCAAAAGCTGCAGATGGCCCCAAAACTTGAGTTTCCTGTCGTCCAAGTGGGAGACGTGGATGGTGTTGCCAGCTCTTGGCTTCAGTCCTGGCGTTATGGCAGCTCTAAGATTTCCTGTCTCTCTGATTCTCCCTGTACATGTGCCTATATGCTACTCTACTGTGAACAAATTGGTGCTTTATTTATTCAAAAAGCAGAGTAAACAGAGAGAGGGAAATCTTTCATCTGCTCATTCCCAAAATACAACAGCTGTGGCTGGGCCAGGCAGAAGCCAGGAACCAGGAACTCCATTTGGGTGTTCCTGGCAGGAACTCCCAAGTACTTGAGTCATCCACTGCTACCTGACAGGTATGTTAGTGGGAAACTGGATCGTAAGTTTTCATTCAGATTCAATGTCAAGCACTCTGATATGGGATGTGATTGTCCTAGGCCATGGTGGCTGAACACACTGAGCCACAATTACCCCTCCTTAAGTATTTGTGAAGTACCTAATGTGATCCAGATATTATGGTGAAGCGAAGACAGGGAAAATCCAGGTCCTCTCCTCCAAAAAGTTAACTTAAATTGTAAATTTACTGATGTGACTATTGTTAGCTTTAATACCTGTATTTTTTATGTACGTGAAAAATATAATTAGAACTAATTGAACCCAAAAATTAACAAAGTATTAGTACCACTTCCAGTGAAAGAACCTCAACTGAATTTGAACTGTGGCAATGCAGCAAGGTAGAGAAATCCACCATGGGGAGAGGGTTCAGGGAGGGGCGGGGGGAATCCCAGTGCCCATAACACTGTGTCACATAATGCAATGCAATTAATTAAAAAAAAAAAGTATTAGTACCAAAAATGATTTTTGTATTAGATGTTTATTTATTTGTATGTGGCTTGTTTCTTATTTTTCTTCTCTCCCTCCTTCCTTAAGGCAAGCCTGAAGTCACTTGTGAAAATCCACATTGTACTGTGGTCCCTTTGACGCAGCCCACTCTCCACATTGCTGACAAAGATCCAATCCCTGAGGAGCAGGTGAGGGTGGAAATTACCTTCTGTCCATAAGGAAGAATTTCACATATAAAGATTATCTACCTTTCTTTTAAATAGCATGAATAATTGTCTAAGAATTTGTTCAGTCCCTGTTTCCTGTGAGCCTCAAAATTATAGCATAATGTATTGAATTTATATCAAATAATTTGTTTTTAGTTCGATCAATTTGAACCTATTGAATCCACTAGCAGGTTTCCTTACTATTTATATTGAGTTGTCCGTTTCCTAAAAGCTTTTTAAAATTATTAAAATTAGTGAAAGTTAGTATAATGACATAAGTACCTTTTGGGTTGCTAGAAAAAACTTCATGCATGTTTGTTTTGTTTTATCTTTTAACATTGATTTGAAAGGCAGAATGGAACAGAGAGTCTCTCTCTGTCTCTCTCTCTGTCTGATGGTCTGCCTTCTAAAAAAACTAATGAACAAATAAGTCTTTTTTTTTTAAAAAAAAAAAGATTTATTTATTTTTATTACAAAGTCAGATATACAGAGAGGAGGAGAGACAGAGAGGAAGATCTTCCATCCGATGATAAACTCCCCAAGTGAGTGCAACGGCCGGTGCTACCCCGATCTTAAGCCAGGAGTCGGGAACCTCTTCTGAGTCTCCCATGCGAGTGCAGGGTCCCAAGGCTTTGGGCCGTCCTCTACTGCTTTCCCAGGCCACAGGCAGGGAGCTGGATGGGAAGTGGAACTGCCGGGATTAGAACCGGCGCCCATATGGGATCCCAGCGTGTTCAAGGCGAAGACTTTAGCTGCTAGGCCACGCCACCAGGCCCACAAATAAGTCTTTACATTTAAAGAAAAAAAAAAAAAGAGCTAGCCTTAGAGCTGCTGCCTTTGGGAACTTGATTTACCACCAGCTTTGCCAGAATGAATACCTCCAAGTGCCTGCTTCTGTTAGCATTAAACTTTGCGAGCAGAATTGATGTAAGCACGTCTTACTACAGCATCCCAGATCAGATGCAGAACATCAGCTACAGCAGAGGCTGGGTAATACACTGCTCTCCTGGGGAACTGTAAGATAGTGTTTCCCAATCCTAGAAAGAGTAGTCGGACATCCTGGGAAGTTAGAAGGAACCCCAAATGTCTATCCTAAGAAGATTCAACAGCCACCCCTGCTAATTTTGAAATAGCAAGTAACCATAATAATCCTAACAGAGTTTTGGATGCTGTTAGAGTGGAAAAATCATTAATTTTGTTGGTTTGTTATCTACAATCTTTTTGAGTATCAACTATCTTTCTCCAAAATTTCTCTTTACCTATAAGTGTACGTTTGCTGCCCTGCCCCCTCACAGTGCCGTAATGGCCTAAGCCAATCACAGGGGCTTCATTTTGTAATCTCTAAGGGGTGTAGGTACAAGTAAGTGACTGTACCGGACACTCTTAAAAAGCTCTTTCATTCATTTTCAGGAATTGGAAGCTTACGTAGATGACGTAGATATGGGCAGTGACTTCAGAAAGGATGATTTCTATTACTTGACTCAAGAAGACAAAGAGAGACAGAAGCGTGAGCACGAAGAATCCAAGAGGGTGCTCCAAGAATTGAAGTCTGTGCTCGGATTTAAAGCTTCGGAGGCGGAAAGGCAGAGATGGAAACAGCTTCTGTTTAGTGATCATGGTAAGCACTGACCTGAGGAAAAGGCTCTTGTGGTGTAGGAGATGTTTCTCTCTTGTGCCATGAATCTTTATTTTAGCTAGAAACTCTTATGGCTTTAATTTTAAGGATCTACCCGTAAGTGTAATTTTTTTTCTTATAGGCACAAAGTCAATTTGAGCAATTAAACAGTAGTTAAATTTCTCATTAGGAAAAAGCAACCAAACTTTTTTTTATCAGTTATTTAATTTTCCCTAAATTTATTTTGAGATGAACAATGAGTTAAATAATTTGAAGAATTTTAAATAAAATGTTATTTTCAAATTTAATGAATTTGAGATGTTAAACTCATATATTAAAATATTGAAAATACCTCATTGAAGCACAAAATTAATAGCTCTGTGCTCATTGTTGGAAAAAAAATATATTAAGACCTAGGACGTTTAACCACATTATTAGAATTGCTGGAGTCATTCGAGCAATTTTGCAGATTAAAGAGGGAAGCTGCTTCTGTGTATACTATCTCCGTACTCTGGCCAGTTGAATGGCTTGTGTATCAAACATTAGCCTGAAAACTTCTTGATGCTGCTTGCCCTTCTTCAGTCACTTTTCACGTTTGGCAAGAGAGATTTGATAATTGACAACTTTAGCTTAGCCACATTTCTGATTAAATTAATTCCTGCGGATTTCTGGGAAGGTGGAATACATTCTCTTTTCCATTCTTGCTAAAGGTATCTAGCTTGCCTGTGCTTCCAGAAAGCAAGAGGGTCCTCTCCTATTCTCCCCTTCCCTCCCTCTACTACTCACTCTCTCACCCTTCCTCCACTCTGCAGGCCTCCATTTCTTGGTTTTATCTTTCTCTGTACCCTTTGATCCCCTTTATAGCTTAAGCCCTCACTAAGTTATGCTTAACATTCTATTGGTCTTTTAACTAATTTCCATTTTCAGTACTTCTTTCTTCTAAGCTGTCTTTCAAGCTCTTTTCCAGATTTTTCTCAAGTAATACATTGATAAAGCCTTTCTGTATCTTAAATTCTATAATGGTTTCCCATTTCTTGTTGTGTTAAGTATGAACTTCTTTTCTGAGTTTCACCTCTTCCCCTTGGAAGAATCCATAATATTCATTTATACTCACATTTCCTACTGTCTATGTAGATAATCTTCCTCAGCTTCCTTTAACTAATAGACTGCCATTCCACAAGCATACCATGTATATCATGAAACGAAAAAAGAAATGCTGATCTCTTCACTATGAAGACAGAGGTCTTCCCTCCCAGTTTCTCCTTTGTGCCTCTTTCTCTGACTGCCCCACCCTGCTCCCTTTGTAGCAAAGTATATAGTGGAGAAGAGAGATGATTAAGAACCTCTCAGACACAGCAATAAAGACAGGCAGTACCGACAATCTATTCATTTATTGAGCTAACATAAATCATAGGTTAATTGTATGATGTTTTACACACTATTGCTTTTCAGTAAGAACTTTATTAGCCTCCATAACATTCATTCAGAGGTTATTTAACAAGGACTCTTTGCATGCCTTTTGTAGGCCAGGCACTGTTTACCGCTAAATCCCTAGTGCAAGAACAAGAAAAACAGATAACTACTCCTTACACTTTAACACATTTGACGAATGATCCTACATTAAACAAATTATATCTCCCTCATTAAATCAGCAATAATCATGAACATCAGTCAACTTCTAACAAGATGTTGCATTAAAAAAAAAAACTGGTAGATTTTGTAACTTAAAAATGTTCATTAAGACTGGAAGCAGTGTTGTACATAGGCTTATGTATATTTATTCTTTACTACTTTCTTCATAGAACTTTAAGATCATCCTGTTGACATTATGGGCTAAGATAAATGAATAAGAGAAATGTGTCTTTTTTCAGGAATGTGCTTTTGTACAGTTTATATTTTAAAAAGGCAATATGCAATGGTAATTTGTGGAAGTAAGTTACAAGCTGCTGATACCGTAATATGCTTTTCCCGTGAATAATTTCAGTACATCTTCCAGGGTTGTTCTCATCTCTGCCTGCAGGGGTAAAGTCGGAGTGGAATTAGAGAGGGAAATTCTGCACTGGAACCTGCTGTGGCCATTTTGTTCTGTTGTTGCTGCTTCTCTAGTGGAGTTACTGCAGCTTAGGGAGATTTCTTGGAACTGGACATGTTTTACAAAAATATTTTTTAAATACACGCCTGATCTTCAAGAAGCACTTTTTTTGTCTTCCGTCATAATGTATTGTATTGTACTAACCCCTCATGCTGGGAGGAGAGACTGCCTAGCAAGCAACCCACTGCCTACTAACATCGAGAGGGGCTAACTAAAACTTCATTTTCCATGCAAGGACAACTTCAGCCGTATGATATGCATTATGTTTATGTGTTACATTTTGTACAATAATTGATCTTGAATGCAGATTTTATTTCATTTGTATTTTTCTGTGGCATTATAAATGTGTAGAAGTTTTGGCTTTATTTTCAGTAGGATCTTAGATGGCTGACAAGTCAAGCTTTTTTTTTTCAAACTGTTTTAAGTATGTACATTATACATATATATGTTAAAGATATAATTATTGTCTGGTTTACTTTAGGCTTTTTATCTGATACATTATCAGCAAGAACAATGCTGCTTCTGCTTGAATACAATGGTTCTCAAATTCCAGTGTATGTCAGATTCAAGTGAGAGCTTGGGAAACATAACTCCTCTGAGCTCCCAGGGTTTCTAGATCAGTAGGAAATCGGGCCCAAGAATTTCCATTTCTGACAAATTTCTACTGATGCCTGATATTGTTAGTTCAGGGGCCATTATTTGAGAACCACTGCTTTAATATTTTGACTAAGATAATGTGATATTTCAAAATTGTCATCAAATCCTCATTTCATTTCACCTCATAGGCCTTTTATCTCATGTAAAGATTCACTGGATTGGTAATTTTTCACTTATTTTCCTAGATAGTTTTATTTAACTTTTATATATTTATTCTTTTTAAGATATAAATTGCTAGGAGTTGAAATAACATCACTGCTGATTCCTTAGTTATTATTTTTCTTTCTTTTTTTTTTTTTTTCTTCTTTGAAGCTGTATTGAAATCCTTGTCTCCTGTAGACCCTGTGGAACCTATAAGTATTTCAGAATCCTCAATGAATTCAAACATGGGAAAAGTCAGTACAAACGATCCTGAAGAGGAAAATAATAAATCCTCTCCAGCAGACAATGAAATAAGTAGGACTGAGTATTTATGTGAAAACCCCATAGAGGATAAAAATAAAGACAACTCAGCAAGTGAACCCTGCCTGCAAGGAGCCAAAGAAGGATTGTACTACCAGTGTGACAGTGAAGATGAGTCGCAGCAGGCAGACGGAGGTGGCCTGGTCGCTGCTCCTGCAACTGCCAAGGAATGTTTGCTGCCCTCTATCAAGCAGAGACTGGCACAGCTACAGCTGCCAGCAGATCTTACCTTCACTGCTGGTCTCGCAGCACAAGTGGCTGCCAGATCTCTCACCTTTACCACCATGCAGGAACAGACTTTTGGTGATGAGGAAGAAGAACAAGTCAGAGAAGATAATGAAGATGAAATAGAAGCAAACTAAGAACCAAGATTCACAGGAAGCAATTGTAGATTGTTCCTTATACAAAAGTATTTTAGCTTCACGACTGGGAAGGGAAAGTGAGTGTAAGTTTACTGTATAAAGAGCTAAGATGAGAATTAACAGAAGAACCTTGGTTCAGAGAACCAAATTAAAATTAATAGTTAAAATTGGCAGATCTTTTAGGAAAATAAGAGAAAGGTAAGGGCTCTTTTGAATAAACTGCTATTTTGTGGCACAACTGACCAATCTTGGAAATCCTTGAAATACTTTTAATAAGAAATAAGTTTGCCATTTCTTGCTAGAATTTACTGCCCGTAAGATGACTGGGATAATTTCATTGCAAGAAGATTGACCTTTGATAATATTCCTTTTTACTGTATTCTTGCAGTTAACAACTGCAGCCATTATGTTAATAACAAGTTGTTTGTATTTTGTTTCTACCAGTCTTAAAGATACAGGTTCTGAATAAAAAAAAAATTCATACAATTGATGTGTGCTGGGATTTGGAACAAAAAGTAGTTTCAAAGATACTGGGGGTTTGACTTTTGCTTCCTTGTTCATTTGTATATTCAGAAGCTAATTTTAAGATACCCTAATGATCTTCTAAGATTATATTATTTTAAGGACTGCCCATTCAGTTTTTTTATTTACCATGTCTTCCTTGCTACAACTAGGTAATGATGCCAAAGTCTCTGCAGTCCAAGTTTATCCCCCCTTTCCTTATTCCCTGCTTAGCAGAAAGTTCTATCCATTTACTCACAGATAATTTGGTGCCTTTAGTGCAGGCAGGTCACAGTGTGCTGTATTCTAGCCCTGGATAAGTTAGTGAGACTCCAGAAACATCTTTCAACTGGAAAGTAGCCCATTTGCAAAACTTCCTCTTAAAAAAGGGTTGCGTTCCAGGCTAGCTGCTCTCATTGGTTTGTATTGCAGTTGTGTTTTCAGAGGGTCTTCTTTACAGGAGTGTGCTCTGGGTGAGACCTGCAGCTCCTGTGCAGTGACACAGAATATAGACAGCATTTGGAGGACCTGCAGAAATAACTCAACTAGTCTTGCTGTCCTATTAAGGAAATATAGAATAAATAACCAACATTTGTTTAGAGCTGAGGAAGACGCTTAACTTCCTGTAACAACATCAGAGCCTTTCAGTGAGTAGACTTGCTTTCACTGAAGAGAATATTTATTTTCAGTAACCTAAGGAAATATATTCCTTAATCCTGAGAAAAATATGTGGTTTGCTTTGTATAGATAGAAAGGATTTTTTTAGTATAAGGGATTTTTGTTTTCACCTTAATTTTGGAACTTCATGACTAATGCCTTTGGAGCAAACGTTAGAAAAAGTCTAGTTATACTACACAGAAATAGCTCAAGGAAAAGAAAAGTCTGTGTTGTAGATATTATATACCTAAATATTAATACTTAGTTTACAATCTTATACAAATTGTTTCCTTTGCTAGCCACCTCAGTTTTTCCTGGCAATTAGAAGACACAGTTACAGTACAAAATGATTCTCTCTTATGGCCTGTAGCCACACACAGAAAGAATTGGTTTGATCATGTTAAGTTTATGTATTATACTTCGTTTTCATCACACCAGCTTGGGAGAGCTATCTCCTTGATACTGCATCAGTATTCAGTACTTGTTGATGGGATCTTTTTTAATTTTAAAGACCCAAATATGTGTGATCCAGATTTCCCTGTCTAATGATCTGTTTCAGTTACCAGTTATCACTTAGTTCTATGAAAACTATGAAATTGTGGTTTAAGATCGTAAAACTAACTGAACGCTTCTTTTTTCTGTAGTTCTCTAACTAACTTTCACCCTTTAAAATAGTCCCAAGATAAAATGTAATATTCTCTGTGAAAATGCCTTGGCTAGTTTTTTCTTACGATAACCTCAGCTCGTGTCTCTAGGTTGTTTTACTGGGATATCTGCATCAATATACTCCTGAGGTCTTTTAAGTGTTTGTTACATTTCTAACTTTCTCATATGTTTTTAAATACTTTTTCTAGCCACAGTTCTACATTCAGGAGAAACCCTCTAGAGAAAACATTTGGGGGTAAAGTCTTCTAATTATACTTTCCCAATTCTACAGCATTATTTTTTATAGTATAATCTCTTAGGAGTAACATCCTTACAGATTGTAATAGAAGTATTTTCATGGTTTGTTTTGCCGGGAAAAGCCTAGTACTTACTGGAAGAATGTGAGAAGCTATTTGGATCACTCTTTTTTCCTTAAGATTTATTTTACTTGAAAGTCAGAATTTTTTTTTTTTTAAAGATTTATTTTTATTATTTTTTATTGGAAAGGCGGATATACAGAGAGGAGAGACAGAGAGGAAGATCTTCCGTCCGATGATTCACTCCCCAAGTGAGCCGCAACGGGTCGATACTATGCCGATCCGAAGCCAGGAGCCTCTTCCGGGTCTCCCACGCGGGTGCAGGGTCCCAAAGCTTTGGGCCGTCCTCAACTGCTTTCCCAGGCCACAAGCAGGGAGCTGGAAGGGAAGCGGGGCTGCCGGGACTAGAACCGGCGCCCATATGGGATCCTGGGCGTGCTAGGCGAGGACTTAACCACTTGCGCCACCATCGCCGGGCCCTTGAAAGTCAGAATTATAGAGAGAGATCTCCCATTCACTGGTTCACTCCCCAAAGAGCCTTTATGGATAGAGCCTTTCTGAAGCTGGGCGCCAAAGGCCCCCATGGATACAGGCACCCCAAGGCTTTGGGCCATCCTTCGCTGCTTTTTTAGGCCATTAGCCGAGAGCTGAGTCTGCATTGGAGCAGCTGGGACTTAACTCAGGAGTCCATAGGAGAAGTTAGCGTTGAAGGTGGAAGATGATCCTGGATGCCACCACTCCAGCATGAGCTCACTCTTGAAGAGAGTATTTTTACACCTACCTGGTGCTGATTACTAAGCCTTAAATCCTTTCATTCAACTTTTCTTACAGCTCTTTGTATCTGGCATGTCTAAGGGCCTGACTCTGGCTGGTCTTTGATTTGCAATCCTCTGCTTTATTTCAAGAGCTGTATGTATCATCTCACTTCATAAGGTACCCCCTCATTGAAGTCAGTTGTTCTCATAGCACCTGAATATATTTTATTACGAACTGAGTATTGGCTCAAGTTTCATTTCTTAATTTATTGGAGACAATCAAGTTGTGAGTTCCACTTGTAAGGCAAATCATTAATGAAATTTAGGAATGTAGGTTTTCGGCTTTAATACAAAAAGATCCCACGTCCTTCACTTAAAAGCTAGCAAGACAAGTAACCTAGTTTCAGAGGATGTTTCCAATAATAACTAAAGTGTCTAAATTGCTGAAGGATATTTGTGATTTTTCTTCAGAAATATTTAACAAGGAAAACTTTTGAGGTAGGAAAGTAAAGTCTGAATATAAATATGAATGAAATGGGTCAAAATTTTTAAAACTCGGATTTTCTAAGTGACATAGTAATGTACTGATTCACAAAATAAAAGCTATAATACTCTTGACTCTTCCTTCAGTAATGGAAAATACAAAATATTTTTGATGAATGTTTAGAAATCATGGGAAGAAAAAGTCAAACTGATTTGATTTAGTCGTGGTGTGTTGGTTCTGTGCTCACCCAAATCAAGAAAAGAACGAGATACTGCAAGACTGTTGTGTGGTTCAGCCAAGCCAGAGTTTAAACCGACGAAGATAGAGTGCTACAAATGACAACCAGAGCCTACCAGTTGATCTGTTTTCCCATTGTGTTTATAGAAGCATATCTACACAATTTACACTTAGTTTACAAAATGAAACTGCAAATGCTTTAGAAGGGGAATATACAAGAATAAAGTGCCCAGACACTACAGTAAGAATTCATTTTTCTGCCATCATTGACAGGCATTTAATTTCCAGGTATGAGGTAAATCCACTGAGATATTAAATCTAACAATTGTTTAGTAACTAGATTTATTTTCTACTTCTCTACTGTTTCTAGAATATATTAAATGTAGTTTAACTTCTTGTCATGTTTAAGAATATCAGTTCTTTTCGGGGATGATAAACACAAATCCACCCTCCAGGACTACTTAAATGTATGTCGTGTGCCGCTTGACTGTGTGACCTCGTATTGCTATGCTTTTCCCATCATGTCTGTATTTCACAGTTTCTCTATCTTGCCTTATAATTAGCTGTCACTTTTGCTGCTGTTTTGTGTGCCTGCCACCTGCACTAGGCCCTTAGTTTGCCGCTTCTAGACTGCTGTGGACTGAGAAACCAGATTGCCAAGCTTGCTAGAATTGTGTCTAAAAGAAGAGTAAGTAGATTTGTAGAAGGATAAGGGGCTTTTGTTTGGGAAAAGTGCATGGACTTTGGGAGACCTTTTGACTGCCTAGCCTTCTTTTTTGTCTTTTAATCTTTACTTAGAACTTGCTAAAAGTATCTGGTTAAATGTGTGATTACCATACTTAAGTATTTAATTCATTTTTTAATATAGTGTTGTTTCTAGGATTCTTTATTAATGAATTCACTTATACAAGAAACTATGACTTTCACCTTTGTATAAATCCCTGTGTATCTTTGAAGAAAATGTTGAATATTTTATTCTCATTTATTCTTCTTAGTATACTGTACAGGTTTAAATCTTTATAAATGTTACTTTAACTTTGTTCACCAAGGCTTTTATTATATAATCACTGTTATTTAAGACATACTTTGGACTATTCTTTCTGAAACTAAACAGGGCTAATTTAATAAGAACTGGATAACTTGAATATTTGAGAATCGTGTTATTCAGGATATCTCAGGTTCCTCTAAAGCCTGAACTTTTTTTCCCCAAAGATTTATTTTTATTGGAAAGGCAGATTTACAGAGAGAAGAGAGACAAAGAGAAAGATCTAACATCCATTGGTTCATTCCCAAAGTGGCCACAATAGCTAGAGTGTGCTGATTTAAAGCCAGGAGCCTGGAGCCTCTTCCGGGTCTCCTGTGGTTACAGGATCCTAAGGCTTTGGGCAATCCTCTACTGCTTTCACAGGCCATAAGCAGTGAGCCAATTGGAAAGTGGAGCAGCCAGAATACTAACCAGTGCCTGTATGGGATCCCGGCTCTTGGAGATGGAGGATTAACTATTTGAGTTAACATACCAGCTCCTGGACTTTTTTCAGCATTAAACTTTTTTTTTTTTTTTAAATTTCTGAAGGAAATCTTTAAAATGTATATGCATTATTGTCTTAAACAATGAGATATAGTTGATATCAAAATAATCATTAACAGCAGTTATACTTTGACAGATTAATAAGACATTGGAAGCTATTCGTCACTGTACTAAATGACTTCATTTTGCTGTACTTGTTCCAGTTTTTCATGCTCTTATTTTCCAATAGTCATTCAGATTTCTCCATTTTATTATTTCTTACCTATGGTTGAAGCCTTTCTCCATCTTCATAACGTGCCTTCTAATTGGCTTTGGTTTTAGAAACCAGATGAAGCCAGTTAAAATGGGCGTGAGATA